ACTATTTTTTCATCGTCTTTTTTCGTCCACTTTGCATATCGAGCCACGTTCCGGTAAATCATTTTTTGCCACATTATATCGCTGCACTCACTTTCGTACGAATGATTTCGACCTTTTCGTATATTTCATATATTTAGCAGCCGCTAATTGTGACATTTTTGGACCTTTCGGGTGAGTGCAGAGAAACACGACGTGAGGAACTTCATAGCGTGATGCGTATTTGGTACTCATGGCGCTCAATGTGATTCTTTTAAGAAAGTTCAATGACAACTGAATCTTCCTTGATAGCGCATCAAGGACAAAGGTGCTCTCTATGGATTCATGATAGATTTAGGGCGACATCTTTTATTAGCTTTGAGTAAGGCCGACCACGCTCTTACTTGACTTACTGTAAATACACGCAATCATTATGTTTCACCATTCACGGCGCGTCTATAGCTCGACCTCAGTCATTTGCAAAAAGCGATTCGAGGTGAAATGAGAGTTGTTGTTATCATTATTATGAATCGCTGCGAATGCTGCGGTGATTTCTGTAAATACGCCGAGCAAATAGACCTTTGAGGAATTTATTAAGCGTCGTTCCAGTAAATTAGTTATACCAAATTCATCACCGGGAGCTCTGTCAAGTTTCGCGAATTCGCGAGCGCTGAATAAACTAGATGATGTTCCAATATAATTTCCAGCTGACGTTACGCGAGTATGCGATCGATCATTCGTCGTCGAAGAGCAATTATCAAAGTGCAAACGATCAACTTCTTATTCAAAAGAAAAAAAGACAAAAAGGAAGGAAGATTCGATGAGATTGGACAGTATATAATACCAGATGTCGCGTAGGTACGAATCGGAAGTTTTTCGCTGTGGATTAAAGAGTGTTGCGCGTTGCCACCTCCGGAAAAACAGACAGTCGGGGGGAGAGAAAACGGTACGGTCGAATTCAATAAATCTCGCTCGTCGATAGCTTCGATAAATGGTTTTGATACGGAACACGGCTCCATCTGTAATCTGCTAGAACGTACCTGGTTTTTACGGCTTATGACATAAATGTCGTTAGGTCTCTTCGGGCACGAAATAGAATATGGGACGGTATGACACAAATTTTTCCTAACGATCGAGTATGAGGAATTTCTCTCTTTTTTTCTTTTTATTCTCCCCGCGAAAATCTTTTTTCGCAAACGAATGGAATTCATGCGTGCCGCGTCTTCCGTGCTGAGCTTATAATGTTGAGTTAAATTGATAAAAGTATTTTTGAATCCTGCGGTTCTCGTCCATTCGGTAAAATCTTTTTTGGGAAATATAAAGCATATAATAATGAGAGAGGATTTTTAGCTCACGATATTTTTAACTTGCGGCAGCTTATGAAATATTCGTGGCACGTAAAATATTAAGAAATTGCGGGATATACTATTTCCCTGTACTTGTACTGGAATGTATTCCAAACTAACTGTAGACCAAAAAAAAAAAAAAAGAAAAAAAAAGTTGATATACAGCCAGTCGATGGAGGGCTGACATTCCTAGTCACTGTTGCATTGTTGACAAACGTAATGAAAAATGGCGATCTTTGCTGAACGTGCCGCTGCAATATCTCTTTGATATTTGAGTGCAACATTAGAATATACGACCTCGTAAAATACGTAAAAAAAAAAAAAAGTGAATGCACTAGCGTTTCGTGTTTGCACATCGTTCCATTTATCGCGTTCCTATTTCCGGCGTTACGAGTTGTTATTACAAGTAGTTGACGCTGTATTAATTTTCTCAATGGAGCAATAATCGTCGCGATATTGTGTTGCATCAGTATTTTTCATAATTTCACTCTACTACTCATAGTCGACCACCATCGGTCCATATTGAGAGGCACGATATACAAGTAGAACATAATGTAAAACACAACAGGAGTAACGTGGGAAGCTTGATAGAGAAATTTTCCGCCGTTATGCGAGAGCTTTGCGGGCGAATGCAATATCAGGCGAAGTACTTAATGGATCTTCGGTGTGAAAGAACTAGGCTAAGGGATGCTTTTCCCCTCGAAGATGTCTAAAGGGACGCTGGGAAGTGATGGTGTTAACGCGGCAGCTAAACGCGAAAATACAAATAGCCTCCTCGTGCTACACAGACTGTTGCTCTTAACTGGAGCGGAACAAGATAATGGACAAAGTGTTAATTTGTATGTTTGAAAGGACGGATCGGCTCGCGATTATGAGTGCACTCGATTGAGTATGATTGATAATAAATTTAGCGACGAAATTGTTTCAAATGATTTTGACACAGATACAAAGTGGAGAGGGGTGGGAGAATGATTTTCAATTAAATTATCGGGATTTTCACGGGGGAATTTCTCATTCAACGAGTTATATGCGCATAATTGCGCTGGTTGTACATTATATTTTAAAGAGGTTTGAGCGACACTCACGTTTATCAGGTTTCCCAGAGAAACATAATTAATCTCGTCGCTATGAATAATCGTTAACGTTAGAGACGATTAGATTGTTAATTGAGACCACCTTCGTCGAACAATCTTCGTGAAATGATACAAAACAAAAAGAGAAGGAGGGGAAAAAAATCAATCGGATACAATGTCGGAAAAAATCTGCGCAATGGCGATTTATGGGCTCAAGATATCTAGTAGCTTCCACTCATCCTGTCGTATATTATTTATTTTGTCGTTTTTGACCATATTCCGCAGTGACGGGTCCCAGGCGTGAGCGTTTTGCGAGCCCGGTTGAATTTTATGCAATTCCGGTGATATCGCTTTTACGGCGGCACAAATTTACTTAAAATTCGGGACAGAGCCCGCATTAAGTGCGGGTAAACCGCATTGTGGCTGAGCTATGCAAGCTGCAGGAATGACGCTTCGTCGCTGCCATCTATTGCGGTCGGAAAATATTAACGAAAGAGTGACAGGGAATGTTTTCGGTACTCAAAAATACGAACAAATGTTTAGTAAAACCAAAGCATTTTGTATCGCTTCTCTTTCTTGTTTTTTTTTATTAGTAAAAGCGAATTATTGTACGTTACGATATATCAATAACAATCTTGCTTAAAATTACAAACAGACGTCTTTTTTCAACCAATGACAGTTGCTAACAACGGTCATTGTAAATAATTTTATATACTTGAAACCAGTATTTTCTTCTGCAAGCCTTTTGCTTCATCTTTGTACATTAACTTAAAGAGAGACTCTAAAGCCGCATTAGCAATGCCTACTTTATGTAAACTACTTACGAACGAATAGTTCTAAGATTCCAAGTTGTATTCGTCGCTCTTCGGTGTTGGTGGAGTAGACATTGTTGTGAATGATGCATAAAGATCTCTGCGGTGTGTTCCGCCTCGAGATATATAATTTTAATTCAGTTAGTATTCGGCAACTTGGAAATTTAGTTAAATAAAATCTATTGCGAGTTGTATATGTGTTTTCCTTAATATCTTACTTTCTCTTTTTATAAGCACACACGAGAATTCTCGTGATTGTGATTTGAATCTCTCAAAAACTGCGTATCGAGAGAATGCTTGATATTTTAAATTATGTGTAAAAAATGTAAAACGAGGATCGATGAGATAATTCATGTAATGGTAAAATAAATACGATAGGACGAATAAATGCGAGCTAAAAAAATTATTAAATTGTACCATTTAACAAGGGATTGTGCAATTCATCTTTAAACATTATAAATTTATCGTTTAACTCATATTTCTATATATTATTAAATTGATTTTCATCAGAGCGCCCTGCTATTTTCGTTGACGTTGCTAAAATACGATATATTCAACATACGATATATTTGATGAGATCTACGTAGAAACGATAATGTATGCTTATATGTATGTCATAATTATTTTAGTATTATCATTTATATGCTTGATTGTAAGATAATATCGTCATATTGCAAACGAGGAGCAGTTTGTCAAAATGCGTTTTGTCTAAAATTTGTAATTTTTAGAAAACAAGAAAAAAAACCATAAGAAAACTGCGCATTTTGTAATAAAAAATAATAACTAAAAAATAATAACCGATCAATACGATGTGAAATGTTAAACAAAAGTAAACAATTGCTAAAAGTTTGAAACAAATACATTTTGTTTATCTTTAGTCAAAGGACATAATGCATTTTAAACATTTCTTCGTATATACATAAATTGACGATGAAAAAAAAAATGCTTTCTGAAGATATCCCAGAGATATAATATGAATCTTTCAACACTGAACGCTACGATACCTTCTCTAATTAAAAAAATAAAATTTTGGACAAAATGGAGTTTTAAAAGTCTTCTCCTCAAATATTATAGGATAAGAAAAGCTCACATTCCTTGCTATCAAATTCTTATTTTCGTGTAAGAAAACGATATCACGCATTATTCCTAAATGTGAACAAGAATCGTTCCTTGAACGATTATCCACGTTTTATCGTGCGCAATATATATATATATATCCTAAATGAACGATATCGTCATCCCTCGTATTTTCTTTATGTTACAGCGTCTGCAACGAGATTGAGGCACTCGAGACACCTGGACGAGAGATCGCAGTTCCCGGGCGAGGGTAAATTGTCGGTGAGTGCTTCTCGATTCGTTCTTGATTCGATTTCTCGTCCCCTCCTATCGTCGCCGCGCTATTTACACTCCTTTCCTTCTGTCTCAGACACCGAGCCCGGTTTCTTTTACCATCCAAGATCCCGGGGATGATCCAACCAGATCCCCGTATAAATCACCTTTTCAGCAAGTTGGATAATGGATTTGTCCCTTCTTTCATCGCCTATCTGTCGAACAGTTTAAATATTTACCGCGTGCGCACGTCTGCAATCGTCCTTATGTAACATCAACGAGCTGAATTCATTGTCATTCTGTTGGCGTATGCAAAAGGTCGCGAGATAGCGGATTGAAAATATATCTTGCTTTCGTGACGTCATCTTAATTATTCCCATATAGTCTTGAATTTGTAATTAAATAAACTAGAAGATGGCTCGTTTTTAGAAGATTATAAACTTTAAAGGATATTCAAGCCAATATCGCGCATTTCTATTCTCACTAATGCGACACATAATATCAAAATGTATATAATTATTTACTTGCACAGAAATATCAATATCGTTAATGATTTTAATTTGGATTCTTCTTCTATCAAATGTTGATCACATTTGCGAATGAAATCGTGATCTTCCAATTTTTGATGTAGAACTCACCCCCCTCCCCCCCAATGATTAATGATTTCCAATCGAGTCGGACGTTGTTTAATCTTTGAAGTATATCAAATGTAAACATAAAATATATCATGTATTATTACCAGAGTCAAAATTTACTTAGCGAACTTTTCCATAGAAAGACGTGTTTGATTAGGCAGTTTGGGCCAAACTGAAAGAGACTTCCTCTTTGTTGTTTTACATGAAGCGTAAAATTTTAAAATTAGATGATTAATTAGATACTAAAATTAGATTTGTAATATATATAATAGTTTATGATGTAATATTTTTGTATTTTGCCAATTGACGTCATAGTTCTTAAATGCTTACATCGGCTTGATTAATCTGACTTTTTATTTAGAACTTGATTATTGGTCCTTCAAATTAATTATATTTTCTCTTACGTTATAAAAAGAGGCAATTACTCCGAATAATGAATTTCCTTTATTGCGGTTTTATTTGCAACTCTCAAATACAAATGAGATTAGATAGTATCCTACAGTGTTAAATTCATAATATCAAATTATATTCAATTTGAGTTATTTTTAATCATATATGTGGGTCGCCACTGTTTCTATTCGAAATCCGTTATTAATTGATTAAAATAATTTCCTGAATTAAACAATTTAATTTAGGAAAGTGTATTCAATTTGATTCAAATTTAATCTATTATTTATTAAGAGAGCATACGTTAATATAGAAATGAATTGATTTATATTTAGACACAATAAAAATAACCAAATATTATTTAACTCAAGGGATTGTATTACCATTCTTTTATATCTTGCTTCTTTAATATCTTGTGTCAGTACAGTTTCATCAGAATGTCATTTGCGAAGATAAAGTGATCTTCAACGGCTTCAATTTTGCAATATTGTCAAAACACGAAGCGTAACAGTGAAACGGTCTCACATCTTTTACATCGAAGCGTGACATGCGCTCCATGCGATCCTTATGCAAAAAAATTTTCCGCAGAGATCACTCGTCGTTTGATGAATAGGTGCGAATACGTTTTATGGTGTGAGACACTTTGGTAAGCAGCGCTTGGTTGGCGGCCCCTGAGACTTGCTTACGAATCGCTCGTAAATCGTTGACGTTAGCCGTAGACGCCGAAGTTCACTTGGTAAAGCGTAGGAACGCGAATTTGCGGACGAAGAGGAGCCACAGGAGTCATTTCATGCGCGTGATTCGTTAGACAGGACTTCGACAAATGGTACAATCTGACGAGA